TTTATATACATTTATTTATTTGAATGTTGTGTACAGATGTTATTAAACAGAAAATTTAAAATGAAATTATAGATTTTTATTTTAATACGTAGTTGTAATTTTTTAATTTGTTTTCTGTTACCTAAATAAATAAAATAACATAAATAAAATAAACATACGCGCTATAATATATACTTATGTACCATTATTTTTTTATTTAATAAAAAGCTATGTTATGTATGTTGAGTTGTTTGCCTTGTATGAGGCTTTGGAGTATATCAGCAGTATTAGTAATTTCAAAAATTTTGTTATCTTTACGGACTCCAAAAGCGCGCTCCAACATATTGCTCGGTGCACCTCGACTTTTCGAGGAGCTCCGATAGCATATAAGATATTGAAGGCTATATGTAAGCTGGAAGCATCAAATAAGAGGGTAACATTTCAATGGATTCCGTCTCATATAGGATTGGCAGGTAATGAACGTGCGGATAGATTAGCGAATGACGCAGTATCAAAAGGTATACCACTCAGCGTGTTACCTTCTATTAATGACATCGTAGTATTGCTTAAAAAATATGTATATAAGTTGTGGACCGCACACTTTCAAAATACATCGGTAAATAAAGGGATTTGGTATAGGATCTTGAGATCTGACCCGTATTCTTTGCCTTGGTTTGAGTCTTGTAGATTAGACAGAAATTCTATTGTGACAGGGTTAAGAGTGCGTTCCGGGCATATTCCACTGAATTATTTCGCGTTTAAGATGAATAAAGCCGTATCACCGAATTGCACTAAATGTGGGAAAACCGAAGATGTGTATCATATTTTAGTGGAATGTACTCGGAACGAACGCATGAGGAGAAATATGTTTGTTAACAATTATCACGAATTAAAACAAATTGGTAGCTGTAACATAATGTTAGCAAATCCTTGTTCAGATCATGCCAAAGCTTTGTATAAATTAACCAAGGTTGGCTTACGTGTTAGATCTAGTCAAGACGGTACATAATTATTGTTATTTGTATCTGTAATAATATTAAATTAGTATAATATTGCTATGTCCGCTAAACTAGTAGAATCTTTTCTATATTATGTATTCTTTACTCTGCGCATAATTTTATTTATAATTAAGTATTTACTCGTTATTTGTCCATGTGTAAAATTTACAAGGACGACATGTTCGCTTTTTGTTATGTGAACAAGTCCTTCAAATAAAGATTAAAAAAAAAAAAAAAAAAGCTATGTGTATTCTTATTATTGAATATTAGGATAGTGATATTTGTATTTTCTACATTTATTCAAATATATTAAATCTTTCTTTTAAAACTAAAAACGTTAAACAGTGGTTTTTTTTTGTTTGATGTGGTCCTACTATTCCATCGAGGAACTTAGGCTGTAGCAGTTTTCCATGCCCTTCCATCTTTAGCTACTGCTTGGACACTGGTTTCAAAAAATTCCCACAAAGTTTCGCCTGGAGGCGAACCTTAAAGGAAGCGAGAATTAATTAGTTGACCAGGTCCTTCACGACCGGCGGTTGCCTTTGGAACACCACTTGTGCAGCATTAGCTTCCTCTGTTCGCAAAGTATGCCCGACCCAGCACCTTCTCCTTAGGTTTATCTCTTTGTATATATCGAGAGTTGATGACATGCTTCCCCCAGATCTTTATTTCTGATTAACAACCAATACGGAGTCAGAAAATTCGGAAAATAATCCTAAAACACTTATTAAGCAAAGCCTGAACCCTTTGGATTAGCGATTTGGTTGTCTTCCATGGTTCACACCCGTACAAAAAGCATGACTTTACAAGAAAATCAAACAAAGACATTTTAATCCGCCTCGGTATTACATTAGATTTCCATACCGCTCTCAGGGTCGTAAAAGCAATTTCTATTTTTTTAATTCTGCTTACTATATCAATCTCTGGACCGCCACCAGAAAGATTTTGCTACCAAGGTAACAAAATTTATCTACTTGGTTAATCAGCTGATAATCTAGGTAAACTTGTTCCAAAGTTTGATTGCAATTCGGGAACGGGAACGGGTTCCGAAGTTAGCTTGAGAGTTTACGCTCATGTCTACCGATTTCGTAGCATTTATTTACAATTCTATAATGAAAAACAAAAAACCTACAACAGGAAGCTTTCGTCATTGGTTTGCGATTTTTTGGTCAACTGCAGTTTAAATATATGTACGTTTAGATGGTGTGGTATAATAGCTTAAATATTGTTACTTTGTTTAATTTTTGGTATTCGTTCCAACTCGGTACGATAACAAAGAAATAATCTAATTACTGATTAATTTCACTTGACCTAATTAAGACATGTGTAACCTCCCACGCTATTTTGATTATCTAGTTTGCCCAATGTAATGTCTGCCTAAAGTACTGTAATGTACTCAAAAGATTCGCTTATCCTCAGTTTTTTTTTAAATTAAATTACAGAATTAAGTCAGATAATTTTTAATTCATTTATAGAGGACTAGCATTGCCCGCGGCTTCGTCCGCGTTTAGATGACCAAAACCAAATTCTTACGTTTTACATATTAGTATAGTCTTACAATGCAGTTTTTATATTTTTTCTCAGAAATGGGATATTTTGTCGAGGTAAAAAGTATCCTATATGTTGACCCGGATAACCAGCTATCACCATACCAAATTTCATCAAAATCCCTCCAGTGGTTTTTCTGTGATGCGGTAACAGACAGACAGACAAAAATTCTAAAAACTATAGATTCGGCCTCTGTCTCCATAATAATATCTATTTTAATAAGATTTTCCAAAAAATATTTAATGTACAGATTCGGCTTAGTTACAATTTTATTATATGTATAGATTTCTTTTACTTTTTCTCGCTTTACGTATAGCACCATCTTTTTTATTCATTTTGTTTTTAAATATAAGTAGTATCATGGCTTATAGCGTCTCTTGAATATTTTATTTAAATGTAATTAGAAATAGTAATAAATATTTATTAATTTTTATAATAAAATATTATAATTGAGCACGGCTTAATGCTATTTATTCAAGATAAGATGTTTTTTACAAAAGCGGCGTTTTAATGCAAAATGGGTAGGTCATTAGTACTTATAATGTCATCATGGCGTTGGTGTCATAATTGATGATCGTGGAACGTCTTGACTGTCTTTTTTAACGTCCCACTGTTGGCCACGGGCCTCCCTTCAATAAGAGGGGGATCAGGCCATACTCCACCACGCTGGCCAAGTGCGGATTGGTGGATTTCACATGTCTTTCGAATACTTGCTAGGTTCTGTCAGACATGTAGGTTTCCTCACGATGTGTTCCTACACAGTAAGGCAAGTGGTAATCATGTATGAAAACGGCTCTTAACGATTTTGCTGAAACTTTGGCGCGTGGGGATTTTTGGGGGGCGAATAATCGATCTAGATTAGTCTTATGTCTGGGAAAACGTATTTTTTCAATTTTTCATACGGTTTTGTTTCGCGCGAAATATGGTAGCTAATTTCGCACGCTCGGGCACCACCATCGTTTTCAAGCGGCCAAGTCGCAAGATTGATAATCACAGTTGTCCGGCTTCGAATTCCGGTGGAATAAAAAAAAATTACTTGTGTTTTTTTAGTTATTCAAGTTTTTAGATTTTTTTAAAATAAAATTGTACCTTTGGTTAAAAACTCCGAGCAAAGTTTGGTCGCCCAGTTACTGTGTATTGTAGTAACAAGTAAAGAAACTTTATTTAGGCATATGCACAAAATGTGTCATTGAATGTTATATATGTTTGTGGATTGTTTTGCCTCAATAAAAAAACCAATCAAATAATATGAGTCACGAGAACGGAGGGTTCCGAAACGTATCATATTTGTCTTATATATTTTATTAGAAATGAAGTAGGACATGACTGATACTCCTTAGTGAGTGATCAGATTTTATTGTTTAATTAAAATTATTGTTTACGTGTCATACCGTTAACATGAATTTTACATATATTTCGTGTTATTTGTTACTTTTTTTATTTTTCAATCGGCTCTATGCTACAGCCTAGGCAGCTTCAAAGACAGGACAGGTAGAATATACCTATGCTACCATACCACTTCGACCCTCCGTACATGCAACCCAAAAACAAAATGCTAATAAGAAGTTCATTTTTATATTAGCTTGACGTATTACAGACAGAAATAAAAATGACTCATAAATATTATTTAGTAATTAGATGTTGATATATGGGTTCATTTGGCGACAATTCGATTATTATCGTATATAGATAAATAATGCTTCAAAAGCGTTAGCGTTTTGAACAAGACGTGAGATTTATGTGTTTATTTTGGACGAGGAACTTTATTTTGTTACTAGCGACGTACCCTCGCTTCGCTCAGGTGCATCCTTGGGTATGTTTTAAGTAGATAAAAATAGTTATTGCGAGTGTACCTTACAAGATACACATAAGACATATGGTATTGCGGAATTTTCTGTAGGTCTTTTAAACCTACAATTTTGTAGTCCATTAAGTAATAAAAAAATTAATAAATAAATAATTTAAATAAATTGCACAAAATTTACTTAAAATTACCTCAGTACGTTTTTGCGTGAAATGGGCATAAATATACAGACAAACAGACAAAAAGTTCAATAAATATTGTTTTAGGGTCTATATTCTGTGCACAATATGTTAAAAAAGTCATTGTTAAAAAAATATTTCATGTACAGATTTCTCTTTGTTACTATTTTATAATATGTACCTACCTATAGATTAAAAAAATATAGATATTTCGATTTTTTTTGATGATGATGATTTTACTTTTCAATGATAAGAAAGATTTTAAGAATAGATAATAAGATATACATATATGTAGGTACTATTAATATAGTATTCGTAATCGAATATACGATAATTTTGAATACCATAAAAATCTGAGAAAATATCAAATTTTATATGAAAATGTGTATAATATCCTAATCGGAGTAACTCTACGTAACATAAAACCTGAGAAAATTGACAAAAGTCTCATAAATATTTTTTATTACATATTTTATTAATATCTGTTAACAGGGGCGTATTTACGTCGTGCAGCGTCACAAGAAGCTGAGAAACGTCGCTCGTCGCTTGGCAATGTCCCGGTCGCTCGCCATCGAGCTTCAGACGCTTTCCTCGATCCCCATCACGCGGCTATATTGTTCCGGGACTCGAGGGGGGTAAGTTGTTCATCGTACAAAAGCTAAGCCAGCCAGTACTGCACTCTTACTCTATTGTATAAAATTTTTCGCGATATTTGTTTGTATACTCTTGCTCTAAATGTAAGGTACAGTTTAAAATTATTAAGCAGCCATAACTTTTATAATTCTAAAATACAGTAATTAGTAAATTAATAAAATGGAAAGTAATATTTATTTTCTATCTTATGATGTGTTACCATCGTCTGTTTATTACCGGAAGAAGAACGTTGAAGAACGTTGTAAAGATTAAACTTAAGAATAAAATACACATTTTTATATTAATTGTATTTTTAAACAAATGTTATTTATGATAAGTAAAATATTTTGATCTACATAACAACTTATCGCCGAGTAAAGTTGTGTATGTTACAAAAAGATTGCTTCGAAGTTACTTAGAAGAGTTGTTTTACAAATAATAAAACTTTTTATCGGGATTTTATAAATAGCTTTTTAATAATTGCATTTTTTTAAATAAATATATATCAGTTGTAGATAGATATTTAATTGTGCTATTAATCATATTTTTTGGTCGCGGCTCTGCTCGCGTGGTAGGTACACCATAAAAACAGTTTATATGTTAATCCTGTTACAACATGCAGAAGTAGCGAATACTTATTTAGTATCCGAGAAAAGATCAATAATGTAAGTTTTTATATTGTAGTTGCCTGTTGCTGACCCGTTCCTGGAGAAAGTCAGCCTATCAGATCTAGGTAAGTTTTGTTTTATTTTTGCTTCAAATTTTTCGTATATTATAAAGGAGTCTTTAGTTAAATATGTATGTATTTAAATATTTGATAAGTAAATTTATATAAATTTACGCACGTAGGGTCACTCTAGGAATCACTTAGAATACAAGATAGAAAAAATCATATCGAGATATATTATGTTACCGAGATTATTTATAATATATTTTTAGTTGTAAACACTGTCGCAAATAATTTAGGTGACGATGCGCATACTAAAGAGATACAAAACGCTAGTAGTGTGTTGGTAAATATAAACTGTATCATACATTTAAAAACCAAAATATTGAGTGAAGTGACGTATGAAGCACAAAATTTTGTAATTGACTTTTAAATATTGCTATTAACTTTTGCTCATATGTTGAAATCTAATATTAAATGCTTTGTCCTGACTGACTGACTGATGGATCAACGCATAGCCTAAACAGCTAGTCTTAGTCGTAGAAACGTGAAATTTGGAGGATGTATTCCTTATGGTCCTTATGATCTTCAGTACAATGGAATAAACGTATATTTTAGAATTTTTCGAAAGTTAGCCCCTAAGGGGATAAAACTGGGCGGTGAAGTTAAGAGTTGCTTGAATATAATATTTAAACAGAGTAACATGGCTTAAGTTCTCCGTAACTTCTTTATATCTCACACTTACTGTGTGAGATATATAGTAGTGAACGGAAATTTATCCGAATCCAAAGGAAGATTATGAAATAACTTCTCATCTGGCCACAGCAGTGCCAATTTTAACAAAACTAGAGCGCGAGAGAGAGAACCTAGCTACAGTGTATCCTGCTATCTATATCCTTTTTCCGAAGGTTGGCACATCTGTAATAAAAAACTCTAGTCTATTATAATTTCTCCTAATAAATATATTCTAATAATTAAAGATTATTCTAGAAATAAAAAAAAAACAAGAAAAAGTTAAAAATCGAGTTTTTTGCAAATATCTCGAAAACTTTAAGGTTATTGTAAAAAGTGTTATTTATAAAAGTTGTAGATTTTTACTAGACCTACAACTTTTATACAAAACATTTTTCGATAGAACATCACAGTAAGCCGGAAATTGAAAAATACTATTTTTCAACGCTTTGCGTCCCTCCATTTCTTGGGGGTAGCTAGGCGTGTGGGAAATTTTACGAATTTCTATTCCCTAAATACCTGCTAACATTTTAAAATCATAAAACTTCAGGTTATCAATATTTTGCTTCCAAACCGGATTTCGATTGGACTAATCGTGCAATACCTATATTTAAATATAACATTACACAGCGTGCAATTTTAACAGGATAATCAAATGAATTACTGTCTTTAATAACTAATTAATATATATACATGGACGTGGACATGGACGTCTGTTTTTGTCTTTAATAACTAATTAATATATATATGTTCATGGATTGAGGAAAGTAAGTGTAAGCAACATTCGATAATAAGATTAAAGTCTCAAGGTTATTTGTGTAACGAGCATTCAGTTATTGTACCAGAAGTCACAAGGTCTATTCCCCTTCGTTAAACATTAGTCCTAAGTTTGATGGAGTGGGACGACATCTTATTCCGTACAGACTATAACATGAAAATAAAATAGTAATTTTTAGGTTTACTAAATTACTACTTAAATTTTTTTAAATAATAATACACTCGCGTGCAACTGAATCGACTCAAGCCGTATATTGGTATATAAGTTTGATTTTTCGGAAAATGGCTTATCCGATTTTTGTAAAAGTTTTTTATTTGAAAAATATTTTTTTTATAAATGTAGCAAATTTCAAATAAACAATGATATTTTTTTTTAAATAAATACGGTCAAACATGAGCGTTACAGAAATTACTCGTTGCGGTACCTATGAGTTGCGAGACTAAATCATGTATAAAAGCTCACGTGACCCATATTTCTTATCAGTCACTCGTCAGACGTTGACAGGCACACATCTCCTTAAGCTCCCAGTATTTTAATAGCAAGTTGTAGCTTTGTTGCAAGCGGGCCATAATCAACGGCAAGTCGCTCGTGAACTTAACATGAGCCAATCAGCTTAGTCCATTCAGCTAGTTTCAAGAGACTGGTGGCTTCGTTCGTAGACCACAAACCAATAGACACCGGAGCACATCTGAGACGGACGACGGCTTCATTGTCTCAACTTCATTAAGAAATCGTCATCTCACGGGCGTTGATGTGCAACAGGAGCTCAGAAGGGTTTGAGGAGTTGCTGTAAGTCAGTGGACAATTAGAAGACGCCTGAAGAAAGTTAATTTAACTCCTTAACGGCCAGCCAGAGGCCCGAAACTGAGCGCAGCTCACCGTCAATCCCGACTTCAATTTGCTCGTGAACACCTCAATTGGACTATTCAGCAATGAAGCTCCATCCTTTTCACTGACGAGAGCAGAATGTGTCTCCGTGGCAACGACAGAAGAGACCGAGTATACAGGCGTCCAGGGGAACCGTTCGCGCAATGCTGTTTCGCTGAAACAGTATCATATGGCGCTGGTTCAGTCATGATGTGGGCTGGAATATCATATGAAGGGAAGACCGAGCTTGTTTTCGTGCCTGGTGGTGGTCGGAGTGGTGGTCTAACAGCTCAAAAGTATGTGGAAAACATTCTCCTCGATTATGTTGTACCTTATGCAGGGTACATGGGAGAAGATTTTCAATTGATGCATGATAATGCTCGGTGCCATACAGCAAGTGTTACTCGCCAGTTTCTTCAAGAGGTGCAAATTGAGACGATGATGTGGCCAGCCCTCAGTCCTGATCTGAATTGCATTGAGCATTTATGGGACGAGCTCAAACGGAGGGTGCGAGCTAGAGATACGGCTCCATCAAGCATCGTCGAGCTCAAAACTGCGCTAGAGGAAGAATGGAATACGATACCTCAAGATTTTATCAAAAAATTGATAAAATCAATGAAAAATCGCATGCAAGCCGTTATAAAAGCTAGGGGAGGCAATACAAAGTATTGAAAATTTTAATTACTTACTTTTATCAAAAATAATTTTTTTATTCATTATGTTCTTGTTTTCATTTTTCTTCATTTTTTATGCATTTCTGTCAAATTAAATTTTATCAATAAATACTCAACCGATTTTTCTCATTAGGATAGCATTTTTGAGGAGAAAAGATTAGGCTTTCAAACAAAAAAAAACAAGAAAATCGGATAAGCCATTTTCCTAAAAATCGAACTTTAATACCAATATACGGCTTGAGTCGATTTAGTTGCACGCGAGTGTAGTTTTCGTATAGTATAGTAATAAATAATGTAAAGTAATAACAAATAAATAGACCACGTTAAAAACTAAAAAGTAGTCTTTGATCATGACTTTCATCTTTTGAACTCTATTTCAAGGGCTTTTGTGTTTCGATGCTAGTTTTCATTTTTCACCATGTGTCAAATATGTGATTGAGTCTTTTAAAAGATACTTGACTGGTTTTTGAAATGAGTGTTACAAGAAAATCCTAAGAATATTTTCATCTTTTATTTTCTATTAATATGATTTACAGTAATTGTTACATTATTTCTTACATCTGCGTACATTATAGTACTATAGTAATATAATAATAATATAATAAAATGTACAATATTTTTTAGTTTAACGGACAATCTAATGCTGAACATTTGTTCCTTTATTATTTTCTTGGTATTTTAAAACATTTCGGTAACCTAAATGTATGAAGGTACCAATGTGAATCGCAGAAATTGCAGTCACAACATCAGAGAAACACGTGATGGCACACCAATCATGTATTTAGCCACAATGCTCCAATTCATGATAAAATAGGGACTTGCTCCACTGACCTAATTTCTGTGACATATTTTAATGGGGTATTTTTATGTATGGCCAGGCATTTTATATAATGTATGTTATTCATGTTGACGAGTGTATATTTACTATGCAGTAAAATTAGTATTTATCAAACATCATCAATGTAAAGACAGATGTCGCTTTATGTCATTCATAATGGAAATAGTCTTTTATTATCTGTTGTAAAACGTTTTGTCGACAGATTGCGTGTAACGTTTACAATTGCTGTGATACGATAAACTCTTTTTATCATTTTTTGGGTCATTCATTGTTATTTAAGTAATTTTCTCTATAGGCAGAGTTTTAAATGTTGAAATAAGTTAATATTTCTATTCAGTTATTTCGATACTTCTACTTCAAGAAGAGTTACTAATGTCTAAAGGTGTGACTAAGAGTTTTTAACTTAAAAATTAGTTTAGTTGACGTAACGTAGTTTACTGGTGTGGTTTTATTTGTAAGTATTTACGTATATTCAAATATGTTGGTACTTTGTGTGTAGTTCTCTATTTGATCATAAATCAAGTAATTAAGCTTCAAGAGTGCAACATTTGTTAAATATATTTATAAAATATTCTTCTTATTGTGAATGTAGAGTTGAGTAATTTAGTCGCTCTTGTGGCTGTGTTACTGGTATTTGTCCTTGATATCTGTTATGGTTTATGGTTTAAGACATTAATTTCTCAAAAGAATTACAAAATTCACTTACAGAGAAATTGCACATAATTTATATATAACAAACATCGTGCCGTTGGACATACCACCTCATAACTTATTCACTATTGAAAATCTACTTAGCATTATACAGAAACTTATATCATAAGAAACATATATTACTTTAATTTTACGCGTATAAACTTAAACACATTATACCAATACATATATTAAAAATTAAGAGGGTAGTATTAAGTGTTTCGACAATAAGTAAGATAAAGCTAGTTCCACAGTACACATGGAGGAGGTGATTATATTGATTTATTTGAATAAAAAATATGTATGAAGGTTTTTTTTGTTTTTAGTTTTTAGTTTCGTTTTTGGATTGTATATAGTTATTTTAATTATACCTGGAAATGGAGTCTGGTCAGTATAAATGCGGATACCATCTTCTTTAAGTTTATGTTTATATCAAAGTATATTTTTCACTATTTGCGGATTAGAATAGCAACTTTTAAGTGAACGC